ACAAATACAAAACAAAGACAAAAAAACAAAAAACAAAAAACAAACAAATAGGGAAAGGAAAAGACAGGGAATGCAAGTATATATATATATATAGCCTGCAAGACAGATTTAACACACTTTGGTTTCTTTATTCTTCTACGTCCCCTTTTTTCCCCCTTTTTTTTTCCGCGTTTTCTTCGTTGACATTCTTTTTCCATCTCCCATCCAGGAGTAACACTTCCTCAGTCATGTAAGCGAGATGTATGTACTCCTCACCTGCATAACCGACGCCGCTCCACTCCCCCAACGAGTAAGAAGAAGAAAACATCCCAGGACCACCAGCAATATTATCTTCACACGCCACAGCGCACATCGATACAATGTGGAATCAGCCGCGTCACCACCGTCAGTATTCTACAATAGAAACACATTGCCCTGCTGTTCATTCAATTCTTGCGTGAGCATTTGTTTCTGCTCACAGTCCCGTCGGAATTCAACGTATGTAAATTTATTTATTACCTTGTCCTTCGTTTTCACAACACGTTTCGTGCGGCATCCCTGCACTCTATGAGAAGCAAAACAACAAACAACATAACATGCAGCGAGAGGCGCGTGCGTCCATCTCGTGCACATACACAAACGACTGCGAGTGGGCTTTCCCCCGTACACATACGTAAGCACATAAGTATCAACAACAGATATGCCTATATGCATGCATACTAGTCGCGCAGGAACACTGGATGAAACGCGCATACACAATTTAAAAAACAAAGGCGGTCGTCTACGACTGCGGTATATCCCACGCACCGAGCCCAGACAAACAACAAAAACGGAACATCAAGTGGGCTTTTTTTTTTTACGGCCATCGGCAGGCAGCTGTCGACAGCAAGGGGCAAAAATGAACAAGAATACAACCACGACAAAAAAGGAGCAACAAAAAAAAAAAAAACCACATCTCCTACAAAGTAAAAAAAAAAAAAAAAAGAATAACATTCGCAGAAATAACCAGATAAGGAAGAAAGAAACCGCATAAAAAAAAAAATGATATACAACACAAACTCCCCCCCCCCCCTAAAAAAAAAAAAAAAAAAACACTTCGACCGTTGGGACAGTTTTCCGTCTGTTCACAGTGCAGCCCTCTTGTTTTTTTGTTTCCTCACTAATTCCTTGTCGATATACATACATATTGCTGTCTCGCTGTTCGACTTAATTCGCTTTATACTTTCGTGTATGAAAGAATGCCCAACAAAAAAACAGAACTGACCCCCTACGGTGAGACGTGCACCGCGGCGTGCGGATCGCGCGATGCCAAAGCATTGCATAACAATGGGTAAGCACCACCTTGCTGGCTGCATTGAACGCCGCTAAAAAAAATTGTTGCATTGCAACATGGGCATTGCTGCTGGTGGAATTTGTTGCTGTAACTGAGCTGTCATTGCATCCCACTTCTGACATTTGTAGTTGGGTCGTACAGGTGCTGAAAGCAATTGGGGATGCCCCGGGGGCGAACCTACCATGGGCAAAATGTTTCCACTATTCTGTTTCTGTCGCTGCATAACCTGTTGCAGTTGCTGGGAGTGGAAAGAAACAGTCTGCATGAATGTTACTGGTGGGGGATGATACATCACATTTTGAAGAACCACGTGGGAAGAGGAGAGGCTCCTCTGAGGTGATGGCGGTGGCAGTGACGCGGGCAACACCATCCCGGGCGGGTTTCCAACCAAACCCACGAAAGAAATGGAGTTACAACTTGCGGACAAGATGGGTGTAGAATCCGAGTGCGGCTGTGTCTGTGTCGGCTGAGATATGTGATGATCATGGTAGCTAAAGCCATATACATCGCTTCCCGTGGACGATAAACCCCCTCCAAAGTTCGAATCACCTGATGATTGCAAACCTTTATTACAACAACCGAAAAACGAAAAGTTGATGCCTGCAACACCACCTCTATTGAGGGAACAGGGATTGAAAAAGGCATGGTGTAGCGCATCTACGCATGACGTCCGCCATCTTACATCTGGTTGTAGGAGAGAACATAGCAGATTTACAAAAACCGCTTCCTCTCCAGCTGACTGTTGCAGTTGCTGAAAACCACTGATGTTGCGGCGATAGTTCATAATGAGATGTCTAAGGCTGGTCTCCGCATGCACATCCATTCCTACACATGGCAGTTGCAGCTTTTCCACATTAGTGCCAGCTGAGAGGGCTTCCATTGAGGGCATTCCAAGGGTGCACATAATGTTAATCATCTGTTCCCGCGGATTCTCACCAGAAAAAAGTGGTTTCCCTGTGTACAGTTCAAAGAGAAGACAACCGACACTCCAAGAGTCGATATGAAACGTGTAGGGCAACCCCAAGATCACCTCTGGTGCGCGGTACCAAAGTGATTGAACATCATAGTAAGTGTTCTCGTGAAACTGACGCACCGCCCCAAAATCAATAAGACACGTTTTCGGGAAGTCACTCCTATTGCTACCATCCGCATTATTGAAGCCAAGCATGACATTTGCTGGTTTGATATCACAATGCATGTAACCCACTTTATGCAGCTCCGCAAGGGCCCGGAGGACACGCTCACCTATAGTACGCACAGTATCCAATAAAAGTGGCCGAAATCCATTCTTGCGTAGCAGCTCATACAAATCTGTGTGAAGCAGTTCACAAACGATGCAAAGATGACCCCCATCCTCAAAATAGTCAAACATTTTAAGTGTGTCTTCACTGTGAGAAAGCAGCTGTAGAACACGTATCTCATTCAACGCAGAGCGACGGTAGGCAGCGTCACTCTGCGCGACCTTTACCGCGACATGTTTTCCAGTGTGTGTATCGCTGCAGCGCAACACCCGTCCGTAGGTTCCTGTGCCAAGCACTTCCTGTGGCACGTAGCGTCCATGCATAACTTGAATCAGTGTTGTGGTAATGACTGGAAACTATATATATATATATATATATATATATATATATATATATATATATATATAT